CTCACACTCCATGCCTCTCTCTACCTTTTTGTTTTCCTCATCAGTATCACCTTCTAACAAACTGTGGCACGTATATATTTATTATACCTTTTTTAAATGGCCTAGACTGTACACACACACCACCCAGGCACACATTTGCACAGGCACATGTGTTCCCAGCCTCTCCCTAAGACAGAGATATTGTTTTATGCACTAATGTATCCCTAGCACTTAGAAGAGGATTTTGTGTCTATCAGACACACATGCACGTACAGCACACAGAGAAGAAAGGCACATCATTACTCAGTTTGCTTTTGCAGATTATAACACATAGTTAAGAAAACAAACTTGTTGCTGAGTGGTGGCACACACCTGTAATCCCAGCTACTCAGGAGGCTGAGGCAGGAGGATCACAAATTCCAGGCCAGCTTGAGCAAATTAGTGAGAGTCTGTCTCAAATAAAACATAATTTAAAAGGGCTGAGGACATAGCTCAGTGGTAGAGTGCTTACCCATGAGGCCTTTGGTTTGATCTCTAGTATTACGGAACAACAAAACACCAACAAAAGACTTGTGATTGGGTTGTTAGTCATTTGGGCCCCCTAGGTTGTCAGCAGGACAAAGCCATCATGCCTGACTCTGGGCTGAAGACAAGATTACTGAGAGGTCTGGGAGTAGCTCACAGGACAGGAGGGGGATCCAAACATTTGGGCTTTATAAAGCAGTGGTCCCAAAACATTTTTGTAGGTTGTAGATGTAGCTCAGTGGTAGAGCGCTTGCCCTGGAGTCCATGCTTAGTACTAAAAAGAAAAAAAAAATTATTTGCTCTTATAATATCCTCAAGGAATGTTGAAAATCTTATTGTATTGTCTGATACACTTTTAGGTTTATTTTATTTTACTCTTTGTGGTACTGGGGATTGAACCCAGGCCTTTGGACTGAGCTACATTCCTAGCCCTTTTTAAATTTTAAAACAGGATCTTGCTAAGTCTTTAACTTGCCCAGGGTGGGCTTGATAACTGGCTCATGCCACCACACCCAGCTGATAATAACATTTTTCATTATAAGCTTTTAAATTTCAAAGAATAAAATTTCTACCATATGGCAAATGTTGACATTTAAAAATAAAATCTTTTATATCATTTTCTTAACTGGATTAAGTGGAACCCTAACTCCAAGTGACGTGAAATAATATAAAACACAAGCAAACTCTTCTTTTGCAACTGAAAAATTTACATTATTCTCTTTTCTTCTTGTGCTTTTATTTGTATTTCCATTCTGTCCACTCTGTATATTTTATATTTAAAAGTCTTAGCCAGCATGGTGATACATACCTGTGATCTCTGTAGTAACCTGGGAGCCTGAGGCATTATTTATCTATTTATTTATCTATCTAGTATACGCAGCATATAGACTGTATTATTTATTCATGATTTTCCCCCCATTACTTCTCTTTTCTAGCCATGGTTTAGTGTGGAAAAAAAAAACTACTTCCATAGTGGCTTTTGCTTTGGCCAAGAAAATTTTTTTCTTGACAGGAAATTTCAAGACAGTAATTTCCAGAGAGATTGTATGATTCCATTCATCACTTTTGCTTTCCTGTCTTCTATTAAGAGAAATACTATATAAGATATTTTCCTCTTCCTGATTTTTCCAACTTGCATCCAACAATCAAGTCCAGCTAAGCACAGAAGAGATAAGCCCACAAGAGCTCAAAAGACCCACAGCAAAACCCTCTTGCAATTTTTCTTCTTTCATGATAACTTCACATCCCAGACATGAAGTGCTTCTCAGTCTCTTTAATGTAAGTATGCAGGTTTGCTGACTGACTCCCGTCACAGAAAAGGATTTTCAGGATGCACCAGTAATAGAAGCATGAGGAGAGTTTATTAGGGGTGGATAGAGGATGCATTCAAGAACAATGAGGGGCCGGGAATTTAGCTCAGTGGTTCCTGCACCTTTCACGCAAGGGCAAGGTCCCGAGTTCGATCCCTGATACCAAAAAAAAAAAAAAAAAAAAAGAACAGAGTGTGGGTGCTCAGAGAAATGAGGCACAAGGAAAAGAAAAGTTAAAGACTGGGGATGTAGCTCAGTGTGAAGGGCCCCAGTTCAATCCCTAATAGTAGTACAAAGAAAGAAAGAAAGAAAGAAAGAAAGAAAGAAAGAAAGAAAGAAAGAAAGAAAGAAAGAAAGAAAGAAAAGAAAGGGAGAAGAAAAGAAAGAAAAGGAGACTCTTATGGATTATTCAGTATGATTTCTGTGGAATAAAAATGCTAAATCCCCAGCCTACAAAAATAAAATTTTATTTCTTGGATCTTTCAGTGAGATGGATGTTGGCCTTTTATCTGTTTTTACAGTGACTTCACATATTCACCAGGGAATAGGACTGTTGGAATGAGGCAGAGTTGAGCACCATTCTCTATTTTTGGTGGTCACTCTTTGCAAGTGGTGAGAAATCTCATGCACACAGGATGGAAATGGGATAGGGCCTCTCCTCCATCCCTCACCCCACTCCTTCCCAGCAGGACACCCAGTTCAACTTGAATGTCAGATAAACAAAGAATAATTATTTTAGCATGGGGACAGTCTAAACATTGCATGTGACATACTTAAATAACTTCTTTTTCAACGGAGTAAGCCTAGGAGTTCTATCCTAGCAGTACTATTCAATTCTTTGGATTTTTGAATTATATGCTAAAAATCACACAGTAGTCTATCACACACATAAAAATGGATTTTAAATAACCTGTCAGCTGATAATTTGACTAGGTCCTCCTTCATTTTTTTCCCTTTTTTGGGGGGGTGGGGTACCGGGATCAAACTCAGAACCTTGCACTTGCCAGGCAGGTGTGGCTCCACTGAGCTACATCCCCGGCCCCCTTCCTTCAATTTTGTTTAAATCAAAAATTGGAAAACAACTGATGTGTAATAATGGTCCATCATTGAGTTATAGAGTCATTCACTTTTGTAACATTTGAGGTAACATTTTGAATTGTCTCACTGCTTTTGTACCCCTCAGCCAGATACCCTGCTAAGATGCTGACTGGGAAGAGATGGGCATTTTTTTGAAAAATAGAATGAGATGATTATGACCAAGGATAACTTAATCCCAGGAACACTGTCCTTATGAAAGTGGAGATTTCTTTAAATCCATCCACACCCCTCCCAACACACTCCCAGGAAAGCGTTCACATACCCTCATTCCAGGAACAGGGTTAGGCAAGAACAGTGCCCAGGAGAGCTCCAAGGATCTGGAAAATGCCACATTTAAGGTGGCAAAAGTCCACGTTAGTTCCCCCTACTTAGCCACAGCCAGGGAAGGGCCAGCACCTCGACTGAGCCCCTATTGCTGCTGTAAAAACAACCACAAACCAAGTGGCTTACAATAATTCAAACTTATTATCGCACAGTTCTGGGGGTTGGAAGTCTGAGGTGGGTCTTACAGGCAAAAGTCAAGGTTTCAACAGAACTACCTCCTTTTGGAGGCTCTGGGGAAAATTAGTTTCCTTCCCTTTTCTAGCTTCTAGAGGGCACCTACTTTCCCCACCTCCTTCCTCACACCACTCCAACCTCGGCTCCCACAGTCACATCTCCTCTCTGACTCTGACCTTCTGGCCCCCCTTTTACAGAGATTTTTGTGCTGGGGATGGTGGCACATGACTGTATTCCCAACACTCTGGAAGGATGAGCAGGAGGATTCCAAGTTCAAGCCCAGCCTGGGCAACTGAGCAAGACCTTGTTTCATAATTTAAAACCAAAACAAGACTCTGATGATGAGGTTCAGACTGACTGCTCATAAAAGAACAAGTCATTTTGTCCAGTGATGATGATGATGACAATGACAGGAGTAACAGAAGAGATAGCCTATCTCCTCAGCCTGCCGACTCAGCATGTTCTTCTCCAGCACCATCCACCAGAAAAGTAGAAGCAGCACTGAATGAAAATCACTGCAGAGCCGAGCGTCAGCCGAAAAGCATTCCAGCAGAATCAGAGCTAAACACCATCACATTGCCAAGGAAAGCAAGAATAAAGGACCAGTTTGGCAATCCTATTATCACCACACCTCTAAAACGTCAGAAAGTCAGTTCTCAAGAAACTTTAATTGATCCTGTACCTTTAAGCTGCCAAAGTCCCTTTGAAAGTGTCATTTTAAGCTGTCGAAGTATACGAGTAGGAACACTGTTTCAACTATTAATAGAGCCTATAATTTTTTTTCTGTAGATTTTATCAAGATACATCTGGATGAACCAGAAAGTGATCCTGTAGAGATCATTTTAAATACCTCTGATCTAACTAAAACCAAACCAAAACAAAAATCCCCCCCAAAACAAAGAAAGAGGGCCAGGGATTTAGCTCAGTGGCATTGCACCTGTCTCGTAAGCACAAGGTCTTGAGTTCAATTCCTGGTACCAAAAAAAAAAAAACAAAGAAAGAAAGAAAAGGGCTGGGATGCAACTCAGGGGAAGGCCCTATGTTCAATCCCCAGTACGATAGATAGATAGATAGATAGATGGGTAGATAGATAGATAGATAGATAGATAGATAGATAGAGATTCTTGTGATTACATTCACTGGGCTAATCCAAGATCATCTCTCCATTTAAAAATCCTAAATTTAATCTCACCTGCAAAATCCCTTTTGCCATATGACATATTCACAGGTTCTGAAGATTAGAACAAAGACAACTTTGGAGGCCATTATTCTGTCTTCCACACATACTCAGGAAGAAGAATCTCCATTGACCACTAAGGAAGCTCATTTTGCGGGGGGGGGGGGTGTTTCCCTGGGGATGGAACTAAGGGCCACTCTACTGCTGAGCTACATTCCATTCCTTTTTGTTTTTTAATTCTCACTAAGACAGGGTCTCACTAAGTTGCCCAGGTGAGACTCGAACTCACATTCTGCTGGGATTTCAGGATGCACCACTGCACTGACTAGAGGGGATCACTTTTAATCACAAAACAGTTTCCTCTTCCAGATGGCTCCAAAGAGGAACCAAGGGCCAAGTTGCCCTGCACCTACTGTGGAGCTGCTGAGTGGGATTTCTCGTGTCAGGAGAGGCTGTGGCTGGCGGTTCTTTCCCCTGCATCTCTGCATACTCCGCTAAGGGCCTGAGCAGAGCCAGAGATCCAGAGCACTGCAAATAGTTGCCATCGAGGTGCAGCTTGCTGGAGAAGAGGGCGAGATACATTGTTTATGGGATATTAGTTCCACATCCTCAAACTTGGATTTGAGGTCTTCATCTGATAAAATAATATGCTCATCTATGAAATAATCAATCAATAATCATAATAAATAAAAATAGGCCACATCATAAAAAATAGACCTGATGACTTCATTAGTTGGTCAAACACATGAACTCAGTGTGACACCCTTGATTCTCAAGCTTTAACAGATTTTTCTCTTATAGCTAAGAAAAGGCAAACAAAAATAATGATCAAATGGATCATGCAACTTAAGACAACAGTGGGGGGATCTCACCAGATGGCACTCTGGCTAATGATGGACCCCAGCCTCTGCCCACTCCATGGTCCCAGCCCACAGTAACGCAGACTGAGGCCTTGAAGCCTCTTATTGTTCTCCAGGCCTGAGAAGATACGCTCTATTTCTTCATTTCCAAGTCTAAAGAGAAATGACAAGAACAAATTAGGGACATGTAAAGTTCATGTCACTGAGTGCATTACTAATTTTAAAGCCCTCCTTAAAATGCACTTAGAGGCTGCTGACTCCCAGCATGGGTTTCCAGAGCCACAGTGGCTGTGGGGAGAGCTGGGTCGGCCCTGTGGGGAGCCTGGGTGTAGACGGAAGGAGGCCCAAAGTCTGCCTCCTGGGCAGAGGGAGCAGAGGACAATTTGAAGGACCCTCTCAAGGGAGAAGCTGGAGAAAGAGCCCTAAACCCTGAGGTAGCACCAGACAGGAGTGAGAGGCCCCAGCCGCAGCAGGACTCTGGGAGAGGGAGGGATTAAAGCCATCCAGATGGGTTCAGGAAAAGTTTCACTCTTTATCCCTCCTCTCATGGTTCTGGGCTGCCTGACCAGTAGGCACAGGTTTTAGTTTGCAGGGAGTAGGATTGGTTATCAATTTTATCGGCCAGGAAACTGAGATTGAGGGACGTAAGGTGACATCTTCAGGGAATCTGGAATGATAAAGTTAAAAGGCTTGACTTTTAAGATGAAGTGAGTCATGTTCAGTAACTTTCAAAATTTATTAGCTCATTAAAAGTAATCACTGAGGGCTGGCAAGGCCAGCTCCCCAGGTGAGTGTGGGGATGCAGCTGTGGTGGAGAAAGAAGGGCGCCTTGCTTGAGGTCAGCTGAGGAGGGTGGACAGGAGGACGGTTGGGGGCATCTCCACCCTCAGCCACTCAACCCTGACAACCCCAGGTTTCTAAGCAATGGCAGCATCATTTCAAGAGACAAAGCAAGCTGATTCCTGAAGATAGGAATTTCTTCTTTCTTCCTTCTCCCTTCCCATGAGCACAGGTCTCTGGGTGTCCCTCCCAGGACATGGGGTTTAAAGGGATCTCTTAGCAGTGAGTCTGGTTCTGCTCAGTAGAGTGATGGGGTACGGGGATCCCAAGCAGATACTTCAGAGTGTCCTGCAGAGCCTGGCCTTCTGCCACCTTCTGTTGGGAAACCCTACCTAATGATCCTGCCAGTAGTACAGAATCCTGGAGAGCCTCCCCAGAGAACTCCTGCCCCTGGTTTCTGCTGAGGGACTCACTCATCAGTTGCCACCACAGACCCTAGTTTCTTAAATGGCCTTGTGTGTCTGCAGTGCTACTTCTCAGGCACAAATAATCTCTTTCACCTCATAGACCTCTGGCTTTGGGGGTACAAGGTCCCATCTGACAGCATGGACTTCTGAGAGGGAGATCAGAAAGGTTTATGATTTACTTCAGTTCTTTTTTAAAAAAAATTTATTTTATTGGTACATTTTAGGTATACAATATAATGACATTCATCATTGGAAATTTGCACCTTTACATAATCTCTCTTGGTTC